ACCCAATTAAAAAATACATACAATCCCTTAATATTCATTTAATCACTTAAAAATCAATTCCCTTTGAGGAATTATTTATCATAATAAATAAACTTAATATTCATGAATATCACAAGAAATCAGAAGCATCATAATTTATAAAATATTGCAATTATATTTTTAACTAAAATTAATATTCATCAACCATTATGGTTAGGCCACTTTGGTAGTTACCAACCTTTACATAATATGAATATTAAATTAGATAGTAACTAATTTATGATTAATTATGTCTATTACAAAAATTAATATTCATCAATCATTATGATTGAGCCACTTTGGTAGCTACCAATTTTCACATAATATGAATATTAAATTAGACAGAGATTAATTCATCATTAAGTTATATTTACTACTAAAATTAATATTTATGAACCATTATGGTTAGGCCACTTTGGTAGTTACTAACCCTCACATAATATGAATATTAAATTTTCTAGTGACATATTCATCATTAAGTTACCTATTTAACATTATACACACACACTCATGCTGATCGATCCAAGTTTAGATATATAGATTCGATCCCAGAAATTTAATAGTCCAAAAATTTAATAAAAATGTCTTTTTATTTTATATACATAATAAAATATATTATTTTTATTTTCAGACTTGAAGATCATAATTGAATCAATTTAAAATTGATTCTCCATCATGTATGTATGAATGGGTACAAAATAATTATTTATTATTTGCATGTCCATTAAAGTTAAATTAAATTTCTAAACTAACACATTATTCTAGAAATTTAAATTTTTAATAAAATAAATAAATATACATATTTTGTGTAATCAATAATTTATTAAATTTTCAAATAGCTAATAAAATATAATCTGTGTAATCATTAAACTGTAATTGAAATAGAGATTGGCTTTATTAAAAAAGTAACAAACAAAACAAACACTTTTCAATTCATATCATGTACGGACTAATCAAAACTTAATTCCTTTACAATATAATTTACATAAAAGATGTAAAAGCATATCAGTCAATCAATGGTGGATAAAGCTTTATTAAAGGAATCAACTACATCAGCACATTCGGATACATACATATATATATTATATAATAATTTAGTTTTACTTTTATTTATGCGACTTTAAAGGAAAATAATGAGTTCCTAAACCATAAGCTTTGATACCACATGTAAACTATAATTAATTCGTGTTAAACTATTCATCACAAATAAACATGAATCCCTTAATCTTTAAACTTCATTATTCTCACATATCTATAATGCATAAATAAATATAGTTAGATATAAATACCTCGATCTGTGATTACAAATATCGTAGAGATCAAGTCCAACATCGAGATCCTTTATGCGAAATGAACAACGTGCTAAACTGCAATAGTCAAAACTTGGAAACCGATTTCTCTCTCTTGGCCTTTTGCACACATAAAACTTTTACGTGTTGTATCATTAATTATACATAATTGATGGAGTATATGCACTTTTATAAAGGCAGAGAGATGACCAATTTTCCTTTTAGTAGCATAATTCCACTTTCCATCAAAGTAAGGAACAAGAAAGGAACACACTTCTCCAATAAGTAATTACCAAAAAGGTAATTTATAAGTTGACCAAATAATATAATAGTAATCTGATATCTATTTTATTTAACCACCAAATAATATGTCACATGTCCAAATCATGTGGGCCACAATTAAATAAATAATCTTACAACATGAACAAGAATTAATGGCAAAAATAAACTTTGAAAATCAATTAAAAATTGTACAAAATGACCCTGCATTGTGATAATTTTTGAGGAAATTTTTAGGACAAGTGTATAACCTAAAGTTTTAAAAAATTATATTTTCCCTTATTTTTATTTTAAAAATTTGATAAACTTTTACAACCACTCTCTTCCTTGACGAACCGGGATCCTATCCTGTGTCATTTTTAACTTATGCATGTAATTCAGTACCTAATGTGAGTTATGCGCTGCAGAAGCTAATAGTTGATTAAGTTGTGATTAACTCTCTAAATGACCTAAAGGAGGTGATTAGGCCAACTTGCTCAATTTTTTTGATTGATTAATTTACCAAAAAATATGATTAATTAAACATTCACAACTACAAAATTTTTTTACTAAAAATAAAGCAAGAAAAATAAAGTTTGAGAGATGATACCGGGATTTTTAGCGAGGAAATCAAATGGAAAACCTTAAGGTTTTTTGCGTTATCCTGAGGGTAAATGATTCTCTATGTATAAAGCAAAGTACATCGAACTTTGACTCAGGCTCACATCTCGTCACTCTACCAAGACCTAACTTGCTAAACGCCTCTGGGTTTGCGACCTCCTGTCGAACAGATCTTGACTTCAGACTTACTCCTTGAACCTTGTAAAAGGATTGATGGTAGATCAACAACACTCTGCAAGTGCCTTGACCTTTCAAAGTGTGATCTTCTTCAAATCTCAATTTTATGTGATAGATAAGATCATACTTCTTGAAATTTTGGAATCTTCAATGATGTTCCAATTCTGATCAAATAGAGAACAAAACCCCTAAATCACTCTTGTGTTTATGTGTGTGCTCTCAAAAATAAAATAAAAAAGTAAAATTGATTTTCTGAAAAATATCTCTTAAAATGCTGTAAAAAGTAATTAAAAAAATTATATTCCCCAAAAGCCTTAGCAATTTTTGAGTAAAAGAGAGATTATATAAAATTTTGGAAGATCTAAAAATACTTGGAAACAAGTCAATTTTGTGCATGATCATTATAGAAGAAGTCTATCCAAAAAAGGAAGCCAAAACAGACTAGGAAACAGAATTACCAAAAAGGTCAGCAGAAGTTGAACTCGTTTCGATATTCTTAAACCGGTTCAAGTTGCCATAAGTGAATTTTTGAAAAACGCTTTTGAAACTTGATCTGGTTCAGAGAAAGTTGATCCAGTTCAAGTTGGCTAGAAGTAAATCTTGACAAAACAAATTTAAAGCTTCAACCGGTTCTGATAATCTTGAATTGGTTCAAGTTGGCTAGACCCAAACTTTTTAGGAGAAGGCCTTTAAAAGTTAAACAGGTTTAGAGAAACTTGAATAGGTTTAACTTAGGCAGAATGGAAAACTTAGAATTTTTTTCCTAAAAGCCTAATTTTGAAACCATGTAAGTGTCTTCACACACTCACTACCTTCTTAAAGTGTTATTCTCATCATCACAGAGTGCATCAAAGTATGAACATGATCATTTCTTTAATTTCGCTTCTGATCTTGAGTGTTGACAAATCGAACAAAAAATTTACAACTCTATTGGACTCATTTTTGACAATGAATTTGCCAAATTTAAAATTTATATTTCATAATCTTTCCCTTTGGCAATTTCGTGACAAAACCCCTAAGACAAGATGTAATCTACGCATGCAGGAACAAAAAATTACAATGAGCATAAAATAGTAATCAAAGTAGAACTCTTTTTAAACCATATGAAACTTCATTACTTGTAGCATGTAAAACCTGTAATTTGCACACCAGATCAACAAAACTACCATGAAGCTTAATCAAGAGAAATAAACACAAGCATAAAATAGCAATCAAAGCTAAACATGTCCTAAAATTCAATACAGTGTAAATGCAATGATCATGTGCTCTCCCTCAAAAATATCTCTCCCTCAAAAATATCTCTCCCCTTGAATGATAAAGCTCCAACTCTAATCTCCCCCTTTTTGTTAAAAATTGACAAAGGAATCAAATAAGAAACAAAACTTAGAATGAGGAAGAAAATAGTCATATAGAACTTGTAAATTTAACCAAATAAGAATATAGATTCCATAAGACTATATAAGCAAAACAAATATAACTACAATCAATTCTTGTAGTTCCATAAAATTAGCAAGTGTAGTAAAATCACCACCAAGTTTCACAAACAAATAATCTGCCAATTGATTAGATTTCAAAAATAATCAATGATATCACATATCCTTAGAAATCAAATAATCAACATGGGCAAAAGACATTTTTTTTCTCTTTTTGTGATCCATTTTTCTTTTTGCATATATATGGCGGCTTTCACGCTTATGAACGTCCATTTCTTTTCTTTATTCCCATTTTTAGAGTCAAGGTAGTTACAGACAAATCCCAAAGGTAGCATTTTTCATCTCTCATTTTTTTCAAACAACAAATTTTAAAAAAACTTTTTCTTTCCAAGCTTTTATTTTTATTTTTATTAATTTTCTTTTACTCTTTTGGTCTAAAAACACAAAAAACAAGTTTAACTTCTAAGACAATGTTTAATCATACCAACATCATCTTTGACAAAACAATGACATTAAAAATAAATAAATGTACCATCAATGATCCATTTACTATACAAAATAAGTGAGCAAAACCAATTTCATCAATTCAGAGTCATAGTATGTTATACAAAAATAATCCATTTGTCATTAAACTCATTGTGTTCAACATACTTATTCAATAAGGTTTGCTTAACTTTCAAGAAAAAAAAAAAAAAAAAAACAAAACAAAGCTAAAAGTATAATCTAGACACTCAAAATATATAAGAAGATCCTCTCTAGCTTATGTCACTACAAGAAAAATAGTTTTTTAGAAGGCCCTTTTTACCATGGTTTTAAAATAACCGTGATAGAAAGTGTCTTTTATCATGATTTTTTTAAAATCGTGATAAAAAGTAATATATTTTATCACGGTTATTGTAAAATCATGATAGAAAAACTTTTTACCATGATTAATGAAAAATCATGGTAGTAATTATACTTTCTATTATAGTTATTTTATAATCGTGATAGAAAGTGAATTAATTTCACTTAAATTTAGCACGTATTTATTCATACTTTTATACCGCTCTTTTTATCATGATTGATAATAAGTTATTCTACTAAAAAAAACAACCGTGATAATAAGTTATCCTACCACGGTTCAGGCACCGTGGTAGAAAGTGAATTTGGATTAAGGCCGTCCACGGGTCTTATTTCCGCTACTTTCTTAAAATTTTAGGGCAAATCATTTTAGACCAAACGCACCATACCACACATGTTAGGGCAAATCATTTCAGCCTCCCAAATCGCCTCCATCTCTATTCTCGTTCTCAACTCCGAACTTGCCCTCTCTCTGCCTCTGCAACTGCAAACTACAAAATCTCCAAGAATCAGATCAGCCTCCCAAATCGCCTCCATCTCTATTCTCGTTCTCAACTCTGAACTTGCCCTCTCTTTGTCTCTGCAACTACGAACTACAAAATCTACAAGAATCAGTACCCATATCGGCATATCATTTCAGATTGTTTAAAAAATTAAAACCCATATCCTTCAGTTTCCATCGCCCGCTGTGCCAGTTCGGCTTCACCGTTTGAAAGCTTCAGCCTCAGGCCCGTTGTCTCTCAACTCTCAAGCCCTCTCTACTCTCTCATAAGGATGACGCTGAGTAACGACTTGAAGATTAGCAATTGACCAAAATTGCAGAACTCTACAGGTAAATTTCTAGGGTTTTTGAGTCTTGTCTCACATGGTGATTGATTAGCAAAAAAACCCTAGCGATATCTGTTCTCTCTCTCTAGGGTTTTTATCTCAGATGGAAGGCGTCGATGATGATTTCGGCGATATGTACGCAGACGTTGAAGTTCACGCAAGTACAGCCATCAATGGTTTCCCAAACCACACTCAATCATACATAATTTGAGAAGTGGAGGGTTTGATGATGAAGAAGAGGAGGAAGGTTGTGATTTTGCAACTGCGGAGGGGAATGGTTCGGGTAAGAATTGGAAATGGGTTGATCAATCCCAGTTGGGCGATGGATTGGAACAGTGTTCTAATGGTACTGGTGGCGGTGAGAGGGGAAATCTGGTGAAGGGCGGTTATCATTCACAATACAAGGTAGCGTTAAATGTTATATATATATATCTATAGATATATATATATATTCGGATGTAAGAATTTGTGTTATATGATCGAACTTGGTGTGAATAAAATTGTGAGAGTTGATCAATAATTTGTGTTTGTTTTAGAAATGAGATTGAATTTGGCAATTTCAATGGGTAGCTGTCGGTATAAGGCATCAATAATTTGTGTTTGTTTTTAGAAATGAGATTGAATTTGGCAATTTCAATGGGTAGCTGTCGGTATAAGGCCTTCAAGGCTCTACGTTGGAGATCGATACCTTTTATTTTGATGTATGTGCTTTGTTCTTATCGAATGTTTGAATTGGGAGCATTTTTGGATTTAAATGGATGATCTCTTGGGAGGAAGCAGTGCGGTCACATAATTCCTGATTAAGTTTTACCTTTTAACTGGACTCATTTCAAATAATAGAACTCTCAGTTTAGATGATAAAGATAGGTTATTGTCTTTCCTTTTTTTTTTTTTTGAGTTTCTTTTATTTTATTATGATATGATTATGACATTTTCATATGAGTTCTCTCTATTTCTCTGTAGCAGTAATATAATCATCCTACCTGAAGCAGCTGTTTATTGTTATTTGTAATTAATGATTTTTCACTGGGTTTTATGTTGTGTAGTACTTAAGATATCAGACAGCAGCTTATCCTTATAATTCAAAAGCCAATGGATCCATGGGTTCAGCTTCCTACTCTTCCACCTTAGCTAGAGGCAATTGGGACAATAATGGTCCAGTCAACATATGGGCTCAAGCTCAGTAGTAACTCAAAGTGGATATAATTTCTCTCTTCCCTGGTATAGGTTAGTGAATTTGGTTATGATCTTGATTGTACTCAAGCTGGGTTCTTTGGCAAACTAGTTGTTTATGACATGTGATAGATATGTTAAATGTATAATAGAATTAATATTAGTTAGGATAATGTAAGAATTCAATAGTTAAAAATGTACTGATGTTAGAAGCACTATCTTTCTTACCACATTTATGAGAAAAAAAGGATAATGTGTATGGTGAGATGCTGAGAACAAATGCTATATGAGATTTCTGGTTCTCACAAGGGCCACTTTTGGCACTAGCGTAACACTTATTCTGTTCTTGATTCATGTCATTAAAGGTTTTCTGTATGCTGTTGATTAAGTGGCATCCCATTTTTTCTTGCAGGACTATACTAGATATAAATATTGCTATGTTCGAACAGAGGCCATGGAGGCATACTGGAACTGATATAACAGATTTTTTTAATTTAAGGTTCGACGAGGAAAGTTGGAAAAGTTATTGCAACTGTCTTGTAAATGAATATTCTTTTAATTTTACCTTCTAGCAAATTTACATTACTTGTCCGTAAATACCAAGGTTGGTCTTCTTGGGCATACACGTGTATATTAGCTGGGGTGAGGTTCTACTCCATTTCCAGTTGATTTGTTGTTATGCTGTTGATGTACTTAGCATACAACCAACCTGGTTTACTTTAGTTTACTTTCCTCCCTACTCTTCCTTCTTACTTTCTCCCCCCCTCCCCCCGAAAACACCAAACACACACCCACTAGATTTGACAGAGGCCTTATTCTGAGTTGTATAACAGGAGCAATTTCGGCAGCAAACATCCATTCAAACCAGGAACGTCTTCCATGAGCCTTCCGAACCTAATGAGGTGGGTTAGTAAAATATATGTGGAAGATGTTAATTTATGAAGTTCGTTACGTGTACTTTTTAAAAGATATATCTTAGATTTTTCTGTTATTATCTTCTTCGTTTTTCAGAAGGCATCTGAAGTTGGATCTAAGCACGAAACAGTAGTTCCATAAGCTGTGACTGAAAATAATGCTCAAACTAGACAGGGAAGAACAGTTTCTCCTTCACCAAGAATTGCTTATAGGAAAATGAAGCAGTTAGAAATGGTACTCATAAATCAGAAGTTGCTTCTATTTTATAACTTTTATGACATGTAAAAGTTATTGTTCAATTAAGTTACATGCTCAAATAAATGTCTATAAATTAATTGGGAATAATTATGTTATGAATTCACTGTAATTATTTCAGCTAAAAGGTAGAGCAATTCAGGTCAAAGACAGCATTGCAGAACGCCAACCATCCTTTGATGTAAGGCGTCCACTTGATCTAGATTCTGATGTGGTGATACAGGTGTGCTTTCACTTTTAATCGGTCCAAAGTCCTTCAGTAATGATTTCTCTTTATTCATTACTTACGGCTTAGTTGGGTCTAGATTGCTGTGCAGGACTCCATGAAGGATTCTACTGATTCTGAGGAGGAACTGGGACATATCAATTTTGTAGGTTAAAGCTAGGATTGCGGTTCTCATTACTTTTTTTGTTGCCGTTATATTTTTTGTATGGCTCATGATCAAGAAGTTGCATATATGGAAGAGAGAGATTAAAACAGAGCAAGAAGATATGAAGAATTTTTGTTTTATTTTGGTTAAGTAAAGATATAAGCTTGTGGATCATGTCCTTCTTTGAAATTTGTATATATTTTTGTATAAAATCATGATTTGGAATTAGTTATATATATATATATATATATATATATATATATATATATATATGATGTTATTGGCCAGTTGTAAGTTATATTGGTTATGATGCTATTTTTTATTTATAGGGTTTGCTTCTTGGGTCCTTGCAAGGCTATTAGGGCTAAATAAAAAAGGCCTCATAGGGGCTGTACAATATTTTTTTTCTGTACAATATATTTTTTTTAAAAATAATATAACACTTTTACCATGGTTTTGCACCGTGGTAGAAAGTCTTTTTTCTACCACGGTGCAAAACCCTGATAGAAAGTCCACTTTCTACCACGGTGCGGAACCGTGATAGAAAGCCTTCTGCTTACTACCACGGAAGTTTCTACCACGGTTCAAAATTGAGGTAGAAAACGTTTTCCACTGTGGTAAAAATTTGATTTTCTTGTAGTGGTGTATGCAATGCATGTTAACCAAGACAACAAATGCATGTAGATTTCCTAAGATGAGAAAACTTAGGAGCATCTAATGGCTTTGTGAGAATGTCAGCCAAATTCAGACCAGTATGCACTTTTTTCAAAGACATAACATTTTGTTCAACAAGTTCCCTAAGAAATGATATTTAATGTCAATGTGCTTAGTCCTAGAATGCAAAACTGGATTCTTTAAAATATTAATTATACTAGTATTATTACAAAAGATAGCAATAGTATCTTGATTAACTCTATAATCTAGAAGCATATGTTTCATTCAAAGCAATTGTGTGCAACGTACAACTTCCAGCAACAATGTATTCAGCCTCATAAGATGATAAAGATATACAATTTTGTTTCTTGTTGTACCATGAAACAAGATTAGTACCAATATAGGAACAACCACCTGATCAAGTACTCTTTGTATCATCCTTGTTACCAGCCCAATCAATATCAGTATAGCCTGCAGTCTTAGAGTTAGACTCGGAACAATAACGCAATCCATAATTCAATGTGCTATTGATATAGCAAATATTGCACTTGACTACAAGAATATGTTGTTCTTGTAACGACCCAAACTTGGGGATCCGAATCGCTAAATGGGTCCTCACCCAAACCTGAGGTCACACAAAGGTACTATGGTCATTTCACGTCATAATAATAGTTTCAAAGTCCATACAGTGGCCAAATAATGGTTTAAGACACAAAAAGGGTAAAATAGCCATTTGGTATATTTATTATGGCTTCACAACTCGTTAGGGGTAAAACTATCATTTTTATGGCTATTCTATGCTTTGGTTGAAGTTTGGGGGTAATTAGGTAATTATACTGAAATATGAGGTCAAGGTGCAAATATCAATTCATCTAACAGGGTAGAAGATTTCTTTTAATCGGGTAGATGAATGGTTCAGTAGGCATGTAAAACAATAAATCTCATCTAATCTGGTAGATGGAGATATCTAATCGGTTAGAAGGCCATCTAACTGGGTAGATAATTCCATCTAACCGGTTAGATGGAAAAAACCATTTAACCCCCTCTCTGCCCCATTTATCTAATCGGGTAGATGAATACCCAAAACCAATCTAACAGGTTAGATGAGAGAATCCCATCAAATCTAAGCACTGCCCATTCATCTAACCGGGTAGATACCCCTATCTAACCGGTTAGATGATGCCCAGAAGTGAAGTGATTGAGTACATCACTTCTCTAACCTGTACAGATGCAATCCGAAGTGCATAAACATGAAATATAAATCCATAAACATCATTTAACCCAATAATAAACACATTTAAACACCAAAATGAGTCTTTTAATCATCATTTAAAAATTGAAAATCTCCATAATCCGTTGCATACATATCCCAAAAATGAATCATATCTAAAATAATAAGTTTACAAAATAATAATGCCTCAATGGCCATGATTATAAGGCTTTAATAAAAAATGAATATCCTAACTACATCAATATCCATGGTTTCACGTCTTTCACCAGCTCATCTTTGAAAAATCCTGAAAATATTAATAATAATAGGGTAAGCTCACAGCTCGGTAGAGAATGCCTAAACATCGACTTTAGACTCTCTTGAGTCGAATACACAATGAATGGGGAAAAGAGAAGTCGGGATCATATATTGGGATATTAATAACCAAAATCCACATAACCTATTGTAACATCATTCTTCATAAGCTAAACTATGCATATGAATGCAACCATGTCATGGATGTAATACCATCCTGACACTAGTCCCAATCCAACCCAACTCACATCGAAAATTCGCTAACCAATTTTACCGAGGCGAGATTGATTAGTTATCCCTGGCTCCAAATCCGGCAGCCATTTTGGGCTTAGTAATCAATGTTACATATCCAAATCTGGTACGCACTCCCTCTAGGTCGAGTTAGCCCCTGGCTCGCAAAACCCGATTTTTTTTCACAAAACCATTTCCACAAATTTTTCCTTTTTCACATCATAACCTATTTTCTTTCCACAAGACTTCCCTACTCAATTTTATAAAATAATTTCATCCTAATTCCCTTGCCATGCCCATGCCATGAATGAAATCATGCATAAATAAAATCAACCTTGTTACACTTCTACTCAATTAGTCAAGCATGCTCATCATCAACATCACATCATTATACTCATCTATACACTTCCATGATAGCAAGTCATACAAATAATCATGCTTTGAACAATCTTACAATCAAGGACTCAAATATATACAACCATCATCATCATTGAACATGCTTGCTTCACATAAACAAATAGGCAACATTTCTACTATAATATTTATCTTTCTAGACATGCTTAACAAGAAATTAAAGCAAGAAAACTCAAGTAAAGACAAAGTTTAATGGTTTAGACACCCCTCCCTCAATTCCTTCTAGCAAAACAAGCCCTTAGCCAAGCCCCAATCCCGAAATCCACCAAGCCCTAGTATCAATGGTGTCAAATGGAAGCTCTTAATGTGCACTCCAACTTTTTCTCCTTGCGCTCCTCTCAAATCTCACTTTAATGCCCTCACAAATGGCTTCAAAATATGTAGATGCATATGTGTATATATATATATATATATATATATATATATATATATATATATAGAGAGAGAGAGAGAGAGAGAGAGAGAGAGAGAGAGAGAAGAAGAGTTTAGAGAGAGAGAGGAAATCAAAAATGAGGAGGAAGGAAAAGGTTGGTCAAGTCTTCTAAACCCAAATGTCGCCCTCCTTGTGGCACTTGTCACTCCATAGGTGGTTCTAACTTTTGGCTAAGTTACCAATATGTCCTTATACATCCATTGCATTCCCAAACAAGTCCCCAAAATATATTCCTAATATATAGTTACATGTATATATATAAGTGTGGGAAATACCAACAATGCCTCTCAAGAAAAGATGGGAAAACCGGGATGAGTTCCCAAGCTCGAAAGTCGTCCCGGCTTCAAAAAATTCTAAAATCAATCCCGTCAACTCTAATTGACTTAAAATAATTAAAAATACATATCTAAAACCCTTGGCTTGAAAAATAGCCGAAACGGCCCTCGCGGCCAGTGTGGCATGCAAAATGAGGTACGAAAAATAAATAAAATAAAAAAATTCAAAAAAATCCAAAAAAATCTGAGACATTACAGTTTTCTAGGATCAACTTGATACCTAGCACAAACACATACACTAAATGCAGTATCTGGGCTACAAGCTGTCAAATACAACAAGCTACCAATTATACTCCTATATAAAGAAGGATAAACCTTTTTAGGATCTGTCTTGATCCAATTTGGATGAATTACTCATACAATTTTGCACATAATTTGAATCTTGCAAACCAAATTTATTAACTAGCTCCTTTGAATATTTTGTCTGAGATATGAAAATTCCATAATTAAGTTGTTTCACTTAGAAACCTAGAAAGAAAGTCAGTTCACCAACCATGCTCACTTTAAAAGTATTACTCATATTTTTAGCAAAATCATGAATAAGGTTAACATAAGTAGCACCAAAAATAATGTCATCCACATAAATTTGAGCAATAAGAAAATATTTTCATTTCCTTAAAATAAACAATGTTTTATCCGTTCCCCCTCTCCGAAAGCCCTTATGCATTAGATAAGAAGTTAACTTCTCATACCATACTTTAGGTGCTTGCTTTAAATCATAAAGAGACTTTTAAATATGAAAAACATAATCAGGATTATGTGGAGCAACAAAACCTTCTAGTTGTGCTACATAAACTTTTTCCTGCAAAATATAATTAAAAAAATCGTTTTTCAAATCCATTTGAAATAATTTGAATTTAAAGTAGCATGCAAGAGCAAGAAGAAGACAAATAGACTTAAATCTAGCAACAAGTGTGAAAGTCTCATCAAAATCAATTCCCTCAACTTGAGTATATCTTTGTGCAACTAACCTAGCTTTATTTCGCATCACAAGACCATGTTCATAAAGTTTATTTTTAAAGATTCATTTGGTCCTTATAATGTTAACATCCCTAGGTCGAGTAGGTCGTGGCACCAATTCTTAAACATCATTTTTCAAAAATTGAAGTAACTCTTCTTGCATTGCCATAAACCAATCAGAACTTTGGAGAGTTTCATCAGCAATTTTTGGTTCAAACTAAACCATGTGACATGAGTGTCCTATATCATCACTTACAATGCATGAGTGTCCAAAATGATCATTACGGTTTGTACTCCTAGAATATACCTGGTCTATCCCACAGGTCTATCACATTGTCAAAATGACTCAATCTAACCCTAGAACTACTAGATATGGAAATATCTAAAAAAGGTGCAGGAATTCATCTAGGTTCATCAGTGGTGACACCTAATTCCTCAAAAACATCATCATTAACCTCTTCACCTTCTCCACCTAAATTCTTTACTCTCTCTTCCTCGTAAACTGTAGGTTCATCTTTGTTTCCTACGATTTTAAAATTAGTTTCCTCCTCATCGAGTTGAGTAGAGATTACCTTAGACCTTGTATCATCAAACACAACATTAATTAACTCCATAACAACATTTGATTGAAGATTAAAAACCTTGTAAGCCTAACTGGTTTGTGAATACCCCAAAAAGACACCTTCATTACTTCTAGAGTCAAATTTTCCCAAGTGTTCCCTATTTTTAAGGAAGTAACATTTCTTCCTAAGACTCTAAAATATTTAATAGTGGGTTTTTTATTATACCATAATTCATATGAAGTTTTTTTAGTCCAGGCCTAAGATAAACTCTATTTATGATATAACAAAC